CTGACTTTGCCGCATTGAGGGGCCAATGGACAGGGGCATGAATTGTAAAAACTTAAATGAGAACCTTCTTCCCTCAGCCAGAACACCAAAGATGGGACGTGGATGGGTCTTCCAGCATGACAATGACCCAAAACATACCACCAAAGTAACAAAGCAGTGACTCAAGAAGAAATACATCTAGGTCATGGAGTGGCCTAGCCAGTCTCCAGACCTTAAATCCTATAGAAAATTTATGGAGGGAGCTGAAACTTTGATTTGACAACCAACAGCCAAGAAACCTTAAGGATTTAGAAAAGATCTGTAAGGAAGTGTGGACCAAAATCCCTCCTCAGATGTGTGAAAACCTGGTAACCAACTACAAGAAATGTCTTACCTCTGTGCTTACCAACAAGGGTTTCTCCACCAAGTACTAAATCCTGTGTTGCTTGGGGATGAAATACTTATTTTACTCACTGAACTGCAACTCAATGTATAACATTTGAATCATGTATTTTTTCTGGATTATTGCTTGATAGTCTCTATCATTTATAATATACCTATGATAAAAAGTTTAGACCCTTAATTTCTTGGTAGGTTAGAAAATCTGATCAAATAATTATTTTCCCCCCTGTACCTCAATTCCAGAAAAAAGGGGGAGGGGGGAATCACAAACTGAGGGGGATTTGAAAGGAGTAGAATGACAAATCAGGAGGAATAATAAAAGGGTGTGCAGGGGTAGTATAGAAATTGCTGGCAAAGAATTGTCAGGTGGGGTGAAGGAAGAAGGAATAAATCAGGGAGGGAGAAGAGGTTGAGGAGAAAGGGTGGCAAAGATGAGCAAGATTCCCATTAAAATTTACATGACAGTGAACTAGGATTAGGATTTCAGGTTTTCTAGAGAAGCACCTAGGATAATCAACATCAGTCACAAAGTGAAGAAACATAGCCAGTGGCATTCATCTGACACAGAAGTGGGGGAGGGAACTAACTATGGGTACACAGCAATGGTGAAATGTCCCGTAGTGGGCAAAATGGTTAATCTCCCAGGACAAGGTATTGTTCAACTAGACAAGGCAGGCCTGTAACCTGGGCAACAAACCACAGCCCAGCCAGCAAATGAACTAAAGATATGACCCAAAGGGTAGTGTCCCAACATTGAAAACAAAATGGCTTACCCAGGCAGGAGAAGGTTGTAATGATTGTGCGCAATAGGGACAAGGAAGTTGTATGCGACAGCCATCTTGTTAAGGTCTCAGCCATTTTGTTTTTCAAGGGCAGTGATCTCCCTCCCTCCTCCTGCAAACTATGGAATTTGTAGCTGTAAGTTTTAAGGAAGTTAAAAAGAGCCTCTTATCTTAACTAAAACACAATAGACGCCAGCGTCCAGACCTACTCAGAGCTGTAAAACATTAATTGAGGTCTGCAGGATGTCTGGTTTCCACAAACCATGAAAACCTCACTGGCCTATCATAAAACCATAATAACTCAGTCAAGCCTGTCACACATGACAAGTAAGGCCATTAAAACTCTAGGAATGCACAGCATGCCATAAAATGTCTATTCCACAACTATTCCACATACAATTCATAGAATTCAACAGGAACAGGACATATTATTATTAGGTATATATTTGAATGGGGAATATCATATCAAATAAATCAAGGTCATACATGACTACCCTAGCACACCCAACAGTCAGCAATAAATATAATTTGGAGCCTTATCTCCCTTGAAGGTAATTATTCAAGTCTCCTTTAAAGCAGAGAAACTTGGCAGAAGGCACTATCTTCCCTACACAAGAGAAAGCAGTCTCCTCCCTCCTGGGTGACAAAGGTACATTGTGTTTGGAATCCCTGGATATGAAATATAATTCTGAATAATATTCTGTCAGTTTCTAGAATACCACCTGTATTGGAAGTTATTAATATTAGTGTAAAACTGTATTTGGGTATTGGTCGGAAACATGGCGGCATCCCAGCACCCATCCCTTAAACTGGACTATTGATCAGATGGTCTCTGGCGTCACCCCTTTGATATAACAGAAAGCTTTCGTTTTAAGATTAACCAAGGAACATCTTAACAGACTTGAGAGCCACGGCAACGTTTTTGCTTGGACAATTGGACTCTGCTAAAACCAAGGACTTTGCGAGTATTCTCCATTTTCACCTCATTTTCTCTGTTGTGTTATTGTTCTCTTTGTAACATCCTTTTCTGTAAATATTTCAATTGCACCATTTTACCTTTTCATTAATAGACCTTATTTTGAAAAGTGTTAAAATTATCCCCATCTCTTGAATAGTGTTACTGATAATAATCCCCTGCATATACCTGTCTGTGGCGACAGTGTGTGTTGCAGACATTTATGCTAAAGTCATAGTGTTATTGCTAAGATTGTGAGTTTCCTCCTTGTCTGTGAAATGGCGGTGGTGGCAATTTAAAGAGTTAATTGCTTAATTAACCCAGTGGCAATCACTATCAGCCTGCTGGCACATAGATTGAGATCCTACGAGAAGGAAAATCTCTGTGCAGGGTGCAGCTGAGGGTGGCATTGTTCTGCAAATGACAGCGCAGTGTGAGATTGGCTGGTCCTTTGTCACGAGTTGGTGAGAAGGGCAGGGGTAGAGCACCACGTTCGACACAAAGGTGTATACAATATTTATGCTAAGAGTAACAGTAAGAGTCTCGCAAATCACCTCCTGAGAAAGATTTTCAAAAGGTTAATCCCAGGAGTCTGGAGCTGTTGAAGGGGTACCTGTCAGACAACATTCATAGCCACTCAAGACAGTCCTGGCTAGTGGCCAAACAATTGGAGGAAAAATCAGGAAGGTGTATAGCTTTGAGAAGAACAGGAATGTCTGCCAGGTGTCTGATAGTGTGGGTATTGCCATCTTTCCCAATCAGTAGATAGCAAGGAAAGCCCTAGCAGTAAGGAATACCATGGTCCCGCAAGAGGTTGACCAGAAGTTTCAGGGCGCTCCGTTGATCGAACGTGTGTCCTAGATAGATCAGGAAACAAAGTTATAGAAGCCCCATCAAAATCAATTGGGCCTAACTCTCTGGTTTCACGTATTATATCTTCCTTGGTCCAAAAGAAATAGACCCAGCAAAGGACAGCCCACGGTCTCGCAGTTTCAGTGCTTTTGGGCCCAGCGTTCTATTTACCTGGTCTACCTCTAGTTCCATAGAGTCAGAAGTACCAAGAAGTTTAACACCTGTGGCTTCAGGCAGGCCCCAGGTCTGTATGCTATTGGGCTTGCTGCAGTTTTCAAGGTCATGGAACAAAAACGGGTATGTTTATAAACCTCCTCGGTGTATATTTGCTTTCCTTGTGCTTCGAGAGACTCCAATAGGTCAGGCAGGACTTCTCTTTTCGAGCAGGTGACCTGCATTTCCACTTTGAGAGAGTGGATCTCGGATCTGTAGTTGGTTTGGAGATGCCAGATGTAAGCCTCCATTTTGGTCCTAGTTGAAAAGGCCTAAATATATTCCCTCCAGTCCCAGTCACCGAGGAATAGAGGAGTTGAAATTGGGGGGCAGGGGTGTGGAGGAAAGTTAGCTTGTTCCAGAGGCAGAACGGGACTAGGTATCATTGAGAAAGATCTCGCTGAAGATGTGGTGGGGTAGCCATCTTGGATGGAGTGTGTGATGGCCTGGTCTGTTCTTCTGGGGCAAAAAAAAAACCCCCTAAATGTCTAACTGAGGTGTCCTCCTGGAAGTGCCAGGGAGATGGGTAGATGAACTGCAGCTCTTATGATCCACATAGAGCTGGGGAGAAGAGTTCTGGATGCCAAAGATAGTGAATTTTCCCTGGGTCTCTTTCTTTAGCAAAGTTCGTAAGAGCAACAAAAGTTTATGTTCAGTTTTACAGAAAGCATTAGCATAATTAATACATTTTACTTTAACTTCCATTTGAGTTTTTGCCCTTACAGGAAACAAGTACAGAAAGAAATATGTAGACTTCCTTCATTCTCATCTTTATTTACAAGTATGAGATCTGTAACCTGGTAGGTTAATAATTCCAAGAGGACAAAACAAAGCTTTATTCTCTTTAAAACACAAGAAAATCAGGGGCTACCTTGTCAATATGTTGGTTTCCTAGCTTCTATGTTGACCCACTAACTTAAATACTCTTGCCATTGACTCAAAAAAAAAAAAAAAGCATGCAGATCTGGAAAGAAATCCTTAACTGGATGCTTGTGCTTAGTTTGGTGACATAGTATTACAGGAAAAATTACAGTCTGCATGATAGCCAGGGAACTGTCATTTTACATGTACACTTGTTCCTGATCATTGACTCACTGTATTGAAATCAGGATCAGGATAATGCCCATAAAGCCAGAATCACGGCTCCCAATTTCAAGATTTGCAAGTTTATTTTGAAGCCATTCCAGTAAAAACTTTAAGCTAAAGTTAGGAATTAGATTGTCAAAATGCAAAAATGTTTTCTCCATCCCTCTGAAAACATTACTTTCAGGTTTTTAAATGCTGTGTCCCCCAAGGAGGGGATTTCTCTTCTCTTCCTGTTTTGTCTGACATTTTTCAACTAGACAATAAGAGAGAAGAATGCTTGTGAAGAGTAAGGGGGAAAGGGCAGTGTAAAAAAAAAACCTTGAGAGGTTTCAAACCTTCCTCACATTACTGGGCACTATTTCTTTTCCTGCCTGTGACATGTTGGGGAAAGAAGTTCCATTCACTTCCTGTTCCTTATGACACATCAACCCTTCCCTACTCCCACCAAAACTGAAAAACAAAACACTTTGGCTAGAGTTGAGCTTTAACGTTTGCCAATCACCCTTCTCATCTATTTTGTGGCATATATAAGCATTTTAAAACTATTTAGGATAGAATAATAAGTATTAGGAAGATAATAATATTTCTGTTTCAGTGGTGAATAACTCATGTACCATGTGATGCAATTATGATTTGAGAATTATCCGAACATCATTCTCAGTACTTTTGAATCATGGGGTTGAGGAAGTGGTCATTCACAATCATGCTTTAAAACATTGCAACACACTTACTTGCTTGTAATATGTTTCATATAACGGATTACCACTGGAGAGCTGCAGAGGAATGAAAAAACAAGAAAAATACATAAGTATCAAAAAGGGATAAAGGCTATTTAAAGTAAATGAAAACTGGAGTTTTTCTTTCTTTTTTTTTTTATGAACCTGTAGCAAAAAATACACATATATCTCATGCCTCAGGATTTATTGTAGGTATTAAACAGTGATTAGGTAAGCACAAAGTTCATTATCTTCATGTTTCTGGCAGTATTTGCATAACATACAAAAAATTATGACAGGATCACAGATGTTTCCTCAAGATAAGATGATCCTAGTAAAATCCAGACCACCACTCTACCAGTGCCTTCAGTGGCAAATTATCTGCAGTACTGTTGAACTGCAGCATGCGTGAATCGCAATAACTTACAAAAAGCAATCAGATTTTACTCATGAAAAATTCAACTAAGGATGAAATGAAGGTTTCTTTACATTACACATTAAAACTGCTCCATATGTGCCACATATGCAGTCTAGCATTAAAACTATGGTATTAAGTTACTTAAAAGACAAAATTACCTAAATTCAGAAAGAAACACATTTAAATAATGTAAAGAACTCACACACTAAAAATGCAGCAAATACATATAAACCTTCACTTTACAGAACAGGCCTCTGGGATTGTCCTAAACTGAATTATCTAAACCCAAAAAACAATATATTGCAACTTACAGGTCCTTAGCGCGGTGGCAACCTTAGTTTTCAATTTTCACGCTTCATTTGCTTTATTTTCAGATAGCAGCTCAAAAAAAGTGAGAAAGACCATGTATTTCTGACAAAATCAACAGGTATTTCCTGTATCTGCATAAAATGTTGAGCTTGAAAAAAGTAAAAAACTAAGGCAGTCAGCACACCTAAATACTGAATGCTGCAATAAATTGCATTTTTGTTCTTGAGTTTAGTTATTTTTTTAATACTTAAAAAAAATGTTGTATGTAGATAAATATACATGTATGTTGGTGTATACATGCATTGCCGGGTAGCGGGCGCGTGCACGCCATACCCACGGCCTCGGCTGTCAATCACCGGGTCCTGGCTGGTGATTACTCGCCGGCACCTGATGATTGAGGAGCATTACCAACGGAGGGAGAGAACTGTATGTAAACAATACAGTTCTCTCCCGTCAGCTCCTGCACAGCCAAGCAAAGCAGTGCGCTTACAGTTGAATGCACCAACACAGCACACAATAAAACAGCACACAGTTTATCCTTTGATCACCCCACGATAACCTCTTCCTGCCCAGTGCCATTAGTGCAGTATCAGTGGTTTGTTTTTTTTAGCACTGATCACTGTATTGGTGTCACTGGGGATGTCAGTGACACCAAGTCAGTTCCCTCCCAGTGTCAGAATGCCTGCCGCAGTCCCGCTATAAGTCGCTGATCGCCGCCATTACTAAGAAAAATTAAAAAACAATCCCATTATATATACACCACTATTTGTAAATGCTATAAAACTTTCACGTAAACCATTTCATTTACACGCATTGGGATTTTTTTTTTAGCAAAGACATGTAGCAGAATACATTTTGGAGTAAATTTATGACGAAATTTGATTTTTTTACTGGACATGTTTAATAGCAAAATGTCAAAAATATTGTTTTTTTTTTTCTCAAAATTGTCAGTCTTTTTTTTTATAGCGCAAAAAATAAAAACACACAGGCGATCAAATACCACTGAAAGAAAGCTCTATTCGTGGGAAAAAAAGATTGTAAATTGAATTTGGGTGAAGCATTGCATAACTGCACAATTGATAAAGTATATATGCACCCCTCAGCTGCAGCTCACCTATGCACTCTGTCTGCAACTTACCTGTCAATTTACCTCTGCTACACCTGACTGCAGCTCACCTTTGCACATCCCCCTCCCCCTCCACTGCCCTCATATGGTTAGCTATCTTTGCAAAATACAGCTGTCAGCAGCAGGTCCCTCTCTATAGTAACTCCAGTTTTGGGTCCTATCTTCCCACACAATGCACCAAGTGCACTTACCAGTCAGGTGTAGCAGAAGAAAATTGACAGGTAAGTTGCAGACAGGGTGCATAGAGGGCTGCAGCTGAGGGGTGCAGAGGTAAGCTGAGTTGCAACCCACCTCTGTAGCCCCTGGCCACAGCTTGCCACTGCACCCCCCCAGCCACAGCTCACCTCTGTATCCCCTGTCCACAACTTACCCCTGCACCCTGTCTGTGGCTCATCTCTGCACCTTTTCTGAAACTCACCTGTCAATTCACCTCTGCAACACCTGACTGCAGCTCACAGCTGTCATCAGCCGGCCCTCTCTATAATAACCCTCATCCACAACTTCCTGCAGCTCACTTCTGCACCCCCTGTCCACACCTGTACATTAAATAAGACCTACCCCGTGTGTTTTGTTAAGCCAAAAAAAATATAAGAGTGTCTTATCTTTGGGGAAACACGGTATATACACTATATATATATATATATATATATATATATATATATATATATATAACAATCAATCCTGATGTACTGACGGCCAATCTCATTTCTTGAGGCCCGAAACCGCCAGGAGAGTACAAATACCTCCCAAATGACCCATTGTTGAAAAATAGACAGTCCAAGGTATTTAGTAAGAAGCATGTCAAGATTTTTGAAGTTGTAATTTTTTTGTCACAATGTTTTTGAAAATGAATTAAAAAAAAAAAAAATTCACAAGTTTTTTTTTTTTTTACATAATGTTACCAGTCCAGTGCAGAGTTATCATATAACTGGTGTGGCGGTGATCAGGGATACCGACTGGCGACTATGTAAATAAATAAATAATTATCTTTTTTCAATTGTTTCTAGTATTGTTTTCTTTTTTTACATTTTTTTCAACACACTGTAACCAGAGCAATAGGATGTTACCACAGTAACATTGTACTACTCTGGGCAAGTGATTTATTATTTATTTTTTTACACATTATGATTGCTTATTCCAATGTATTTCATTGATATTAGCAACCATTTTTACTGAATGAAACTGATTCAGTCTTTTGTTGTGATTAGCTGTGATCCAAAGTTCATCACATAGTACAAATGGGTTGTGATTGGCCTTGTCTGTACCATGTGACCGATCACAGCTACTGACACAATTGTATACAATGGATATAATGAAAGGCAGCCATTCATTGTATACAATTGTCATGTGATCTGCTGTGATTGGTCCTGTGGACACAGCTGGTGACAGATCACTCTGAGTGGCCAAGCGGAAAATTAAAATTTTTTTTTTTTAACATACTGTCACCAGTGCAGTACAGTGTCATCATATGATTGATGTGGCAGTGATCAGGTGATCGCGATATTGACTGCTGAAAGTAAACAAAAAAATTAAAATAAATGACACTGTACTACTCTGGGGGGATTTTTTTTTTTTACGCGATTATTGTTTATATTATTATTACACAGGATTTATATAGAGCCAACAGTCTGCCTTTATACGGTGATGATCACCATATAAGCAATAGTTATAAATGGGTTAACCCTCTAGGTCTGTTTACAAACCAGAGCAAGACCTGCCTTTAGATATGATGTGCTTGATAACTCAAAATGGGAATACAACCAAAAGCAGGGAAATGTTCTAGGCATTGAAAGGGTTTTCTGTAAAAAAAAATTAGGCCCCTGTCACACGGGCAGACTCTGCCAGACAGATCCCCCACTGGGCAGGCTTATGTAGCGAGGACACATCCTACTATTCTCTATGGGCGATCGGATATAAACAGAGTATCTGCTAGACAGATGGGGAACAAATCACCATCCATCTGTCTGTTTTTAGTGGATTGTATGCAGACGGGTGTCCAAATACATCCACCGCTCTACAGAGGGCAATGGATGGTCCGATCGGGTCCACCCGAAAAACAGACAGGTGTACCCAATCAGTCCGTCCGTGTGAAAGGGGCCTTATGCAGGCCATAGATGGGTCGAAAATCGGCCGATTTTCGGATCGTTAGTGGGCTATTTGTTCGGCAGTTTTTCGGTATTTTGGCCGTTTTTTTTTAAATCGGGAAAGTTGGAAAAAAATCGGCCGATTTTGCAGATCGGCCGATTTTCGTGGCAATAACAGCCGATAAAAAAATCTGCGCATGAGCAGTGACCTGCAAGAGAAAGACAAAAAGAAGAAAAAGAAGAGGAAGAAGAAGAGGATGAAGATGATGATGAAGAAGAAGAGGATGATGACGAAGAAGAAGAAGAGGATGATGATGATGATGATGATGAAGAAGAAGAAGAGGATGATGATGATGAAGAAGAAGAAGAGGAGGAGGATGAAGAAGAAGTAGAAGAAGAGGATGATGATGATGACAAAGAAGTAGAAGAAGAGGATGATGATGATGAAGAAGAAGAAGAGGAAGATGATGAAAAAGAAGAAGAAGAAGAAGAAGAGAGGAGGAGGAGGATGATGAAGAGGAGGAGGAGGATGATGATGAAGAAGAGGATGATGATGATGATGATGATGATGAAGAAGAAGTAGAAGAAGAAGAGGATGATGATGATGAAGAAGTAGAAGCAGAAGAAGAGGATGATGATGATGAAGAAGTATAAGAAGATGAAGAAGAGGAGGATGATGATGAAGTAGAAGAAGAAGAGGATGATGATGATGAAGAAAAAGAAGAGGATGATGATGATGATGAAGAAAAAAAGAAGAGGATGATGAAGTAGAAGAAGAGGATGATGATGATGATGATGATGATGAGTAGAAGAAGAAGAGGATGATGATGAAGAAAAAGAAGAAGAGGATGATGATGATGAAGAAGTGAAGAAGAAGAGGATGATGAAGAAGAAGAGATGATGATGATGATGATGATGAGAAGTAGAAGAAGAAGAGGATGATGATGAAGAAAAAGAAGAAGAGGATGATGATGATGAAGAAGAAGAAGAGGATGATGATGATGAAGAAGAAGAAGAGGATGATGATGATGAAGAAGTAGAAGAAGAAGAGGATGATGATGATGATGAAGAAGTAGAAGAAGAAGAGGAGGATGATGATGAAGAAGAAGTAGAAGAAGAAGAGGATGATGAT